TAGATACATAGATAGATAGATAGATAGATAGATAGATAGATAGATAGATAGATAGATAGATAAATAGATAGATAGATAGATGGATGATGCCTTTCCTTGCTCTATAGATAAAAAGAATCTGTTCATTAATGGTGTGCAAAGGTCATTCCAGCCAAGGAAAACAAACGACGTCTTTCAGCCAGTATTGTTGGGATTTCCATAGAAGGGCTTAACAAAAGCATTCTGTCTCAGAGGAGAGTGGGCTAAACACAAACACTCATTATCTTTGTTATACTGTAACATGAGGATAAAATCCATATTAAGAAAGCCTTAGTCTGGGGGTTCGGGGGACACAAAAGGACAGCCTGGAAGGATGGAGAGCTGAGACAAAAGCAGCCCTCACATCCAGCCAGGCCTGGATAAGAGTGTGGTGCTAGGTTAATGATTACAAATGCTTAGTGCTGTGGCAGGGACAACTTCTCTGGGTCACATGTGCGCTGGGCAGATGAGGGAACAAAAAGAGAGCCTGAAGCGCAAGCCCAGACAGTCAGTCACTGGGTTTGGTGCTCACACTGTTGAACAGCTGCGTCAGCTGCCACACTTGGGACTTTCACCATCTGTTACCGATGGTTCCTCCATTGGCACCTCCCTTTATCCAATGTTAAGTGAGTAAACCATCTCATTCTGCAGAAACAACTTCATTTTCAACTCTGCAAACAAGTGAGTGGTACCTTGGATTTGTAGGGCTGGGCAGTCCTAAAGAACTGGGAATGCAGCGTGCTTTCTGCAGACTCCCTTATATTTCCCAATGAATGTCTCTGGTGAGCAGGGTGCTTGGAAAGGCTCTGAGAAAAGCTCGTCACTCCCTGGAATATGTTGTTTTTTTTGTTTTTAAAGCAAACATAAAAGAGAAGAAAAGATTGATTATAGTAGCAATCACAGTTTCTTTCTAGACAATATTGAAAGCTAAGCATGATGTGTTCTATGAAACACCCAGGATTTCTGTCTCTCCCCCGTGCAGAATGCTCAGCTGACGACGGTCTCCCACAGTCTCCTTGTGGTGAACACTGCTGTCTCCCAACACTGTGCAGGGCACACTCTTTTGCTCCCTATCATGTCCCTGCATTCCTTTTCTATGTGGAAATTCCATTAACATCCATGGATGTTCTAGCCTTGGAACAAGTTCAAAATAGGCAATAAAGATTTACAGTTCTGATAAGAAGAAATCCCTATTCACAAACAGCTCCAAGGTAAAGTTAGAAAGTTATGGAATTTTTCCAGGGTTACGAACATCTCCACTGCAGTTGCAGGGTCAAGGCCCAGTAACCACACATCGTTGCTGTCTGCATAGCGTTCATCAACGAGAAACAGAAACAAAAAGAAGCCCTTCTTTTCTATTTTTTCCCCACTGTTTCAGTTTAAGAATTAACCTTCAATCTCCTTCAGAGATTCCCATCTGTTTTAACTCTTAGTCATCACTAATATACCTTCTTTTTTTATTTAAGGAAGCAATGCATTACTTTGATTTGATATGTATGTGTTTGTGCTGCTTCTCTGTATGTACACCATGTATGTGCAGGTATCTTCAGAGGCCAGAGGAGGGCACTGCATCCCCTGGAACTCAAGTTACAGTCAGTTTTGTGCTATGAGTATCAAGTGCTCTTAACTACTGAACCATCTCTCTCCAGCCCCACAGAGAAGACTTCTTAAAGGAAGTGGTATAAAAGTATAGGATACCGGCTCCAACCTTTGAAATGCTTTGCTTATCTTCAGTTTATGTTTTATGGATAAACATCAAACACATGAAGAATGAAGTTGGGGCTGGAGAGATGGCTCTGTGGTTAAGAGCACTGGCTGAGGACCTGGATTCAAAAGCCAGCACACACACATAGCAGCTAACAACTGTCTGTAATCCAGTACCAGGGGATCCAATGCCTTCTTCTGACCTCGGGCATTGCACAACACAGGTGCATTTAAAAGCAAAATATATGCTCCAGGTTGCCCCCCATGCTGAAAATTGTATTCTGCTTATTAGCTGTGTCACTTTAAGTCAGCCAGTCAAGTACAGATGTGAGGTTGAGCTCTGACGACTTACATTCATGCAAGCAATACACTCGTGCAGCAAAAATAGTAAAAAGAAAATATAAAAAAAGAATGAAGTCAATACTTTTCAATGATAATTAGTATCATCATCATTATTGTGGCCATGAACCCCATGTGGCCTTGGTGTAACCGGCATGCTGCTTGCTAGGAGGCTGTGTTTCCGTGCCTTCTGGAAATGGCCCACCAGTGTGAAATGACCCATTTCTCTAGTTGCTTTTCAGTGAGAGTGCAGCTGATAGTGTTTCAAAGTAGACTGCAACCAGTCCATAGTGGTAACACCTAAACGGTTCGGTGTCAGGGCAGTGTGAAGTTGAATTCTCCTTTTCTCCTTATTCAGTGTGTAAGACTTGTCTGCATACCTGTTCCTTTGTCTATGAAATAGGAATATTGATGACCCTTTTGCTAACTTGTCAGAAGCATTAAATGAAATGCGTTTCCATAGATGTTAGAAATAGGTCTGGGGTCTCAAGAACATTCTGTTTTCATCTTTTAATATAATCCTGGAGTGCTTATCCCAAGTATACAATCTCCAGACAAAGGGCTATTAACAGTTTATGGATGTAAATCTGTTAAGTGTTTGACCTTTGACCTCTATTTTCAAAAGAAAAAGACGAGAACTAGCTGTTCCTCTGTCCGTTTTCATCACATCACATTTGTCCATACAGCACATATATCCTGCACTGTATCACGGCTAATTATTCATCAACCTGTTCCTTCTAGAGGTTTCCTTACATTCATCTCATGCCAGCATGCGAGCCCTTAGCCCAGGGCTCAACATGCAGAAGGTAGCAACAGCCCGCAAATGGAATACCCACTAGATAAGCTGTTGTCATTAGGACTTCACAGGCCATTTTCCTAAAATCCCAGTTCTCCTCATTTCACTGGGGTGCTTCAACCTGTTCCTTCTAGAGGTTTCCTTACATTCATCTCATGCCAGCATGCGAGCCCTTAGCCCAGGGCTCAACATGCAGAAGGTAGCAACAGCCCGCAAATGGAATACCCACTAGATAAGCTGTTGTCATTAGGACTTCACAGGCCATTTTCCTAAAATCCCAGTTCTCCTCATTTCACTGGGGTGCTTTTCATCTTTGCAACTACGTTACCTTATGTTGCCTGTAGAGGTTGTTGTAGAGGCCTCTAAAACTCTTCCGAGTGTAGCTGCTGCGGTACGCTCCACCAATGAGGTGCTCTATCACCAGCCCAATGTCAATCAGGGTTATTCTGTAGCTCGAGAGAAGGGTATGCTGCAATGAAACACACAGATATTGCAACTTTCAGTTCTCTCCTGTCTCCTTTGCCATGCTCTCAGAACATACCCAAATTAATTGCAGAACTATAGATGCACAGTTGGGGTTTTTTTGAGGAGAGAGTAAAAATTTATTGATATATCCTATTTCCTAAAAAACCTCAAAACTACAGCAGTGATGACTTGAATACCGTCCCAGTCTGATAACTGTGATGAAAGGTATTTTCGGAGTTGTGAAAAAAAAAAGCTCAAAACAAAACCAATACATTCTAGATTTTCATCTAAAGATTAAAGTGATTTCTGGCTAAAGATTAATCATAACCCTATTTCCCCTCAAAATTTCCAAATGATAATTTATGATCGAATAGTAATATATACATATATAGTAACATATATAGTTATATATATACTATATGATTGTAATATATATACATACATAGTAATATATAGTTATATATTACTTTGTGTGTGTGCATATATATATATATATTACGATGATTTTTCCCTTTGGTAAGACATAGACTTCCATTTTCATGAGATTTTCAAATGTACTAAATGTTTCCTGGGTGTCTGAGACAGCGTGTGGTGGTCTGTTCTAGAAGCTGTGGAAATGGTGGCATCTCCATGTTCTTTCAGCTCTTAGATTCCATGAGTAAAGTTTTTTGGTAAATGTTTTATTGTTTTTTGTGTATTTCATACAGAACAACTTAGTCATCTTTATACCCACCTTCCCATTGGCACCCTCCATAGCCCACCCCCCACCCCAACTGGAATTCATGCATTCTGTCATTTGTGCTAAGGTGTATTGTTCTAGTCTGCCTTCAATTGCTGTGGCAAAACACTAACCAGCACCAACTTGGGGAAGAAAGGGTTTATATGGCTCACATCTCCCAGGTCACAGTTCATCACTGAGGGAGCCCAAGGTAGGAGCTCAGGGCAGGAACCTGGAGGCAGGAGCTGAAGTACAGGCCATGGAGGACGCTGCTTACTGGCTTGCTTCCCTAGTCCACGCTCAACCTGTTTTCTTATACAAAACAGGACCATCTGCCCAGGGGTGGCACCACCCACAGTGGGTAGGGCCCACCCACATCACTCAACAATCAAGAAAATGCGCCACAGACATGGCCACAGGCCAATCCAGTGGAGGCAATTCACCAAGTGAGGCTCCCTCTACCCAGGTATGTCAAGTTGACAACTAAAGCTATCCAGCACACCTATCATGTCAACTTAGAGTTCCCAGATGTCCATCAGAGATACATACTTTTCAATCAGTTTTACAAACAGATTAGTTGACCAACTATTGACGCGATCTGTTTGTTCAGGAGAAAAATGATCTTAGCCATAATGTATTTCCTAGTTTCTCAAGCATCACACATATGCTTATGAATACATCTGTATACACTCTAACCCTCTCTCTGTTGCCTTTCTCATATTATTTGTACTAACACACAAACAAATGAATTTGAATAAATTACGTTTAATTCTGGGAAAGGGTTATTTTTAATTAGAAATTATGTAAGTATTACAACAGAAATAAAACCCTGAAATATTTGGTGACTGTACGCCATCTTTTTCATCCTCGCTCTGTTGAATCGGCTACTATACTTTGCATTCTGTTAACTTCATCATATGTAAAGTGAGAGCAGGAAGCAAACAGGATAAAGGAACTCAGAAGCACGAGCAGTGAGGTATGAAAACACAGTCTGTGCCGGAGCAGGCCTTACAGCTGACAGGAAGGCTGAGTGCAGGTCTTGTCTAAATAAACGTGATTTGACTCCCTAAGCCTCATAGCATTACTTCTTCACTTCTGAATTGCTATTCCTAGGGAACTGTTGGTGGCATACAGCATGCTGAATGTAGTCTCTGCAATTGGCTGATAGCCATGAACAGCCAGGCCAGCCTGGGCTGCATAATGAGTTCCAGGCCAGCCCAGGCTACATGGTGACACCCCAATATTTTTAAAAGCCTGAAGAGAGAGGAACAAAAGCATAGCCTATAAATGTTGAGAATTTTCTCAAAACATTACAGAAATGCAATATATGTACATATGTAGACACACACATTAGAAAGTAGAAGCTGTCTTCAAAGCAACAGTCATTAGTCATACTGATTCCCTGACTTTTTTGTTGCTGTTCTGTTTTTTTTTTTTTTTTTTTTTTTTTTTTTTTGAGACAGGGTAGTCTCACCATGCAGCCCAGGCTGGGCCTGAAACTTCCTATGTAACTCAGGCTGACCTCAAATTCATGATTCTCCTACCTTTGTCTGGTATTACAGATGTGTGCCACTATGTACAGTGTGCACAGTAATACCTGACTTCTTAATAGAAACAATGTATGACAGAAGACTCCTCAAAGAAATACAAAATTGTCAATTGGAACTCAATAGATACAAAAACATCCTTCCAAGACAACGGTGAGTCAGACATGTTTCCAGACAAATGAAAAGTGAAAGAGTTTATTATCACAGCCTGGAGAAACAGCTCATCAGTTAAGAGCACTAGTTATTCTTGCAGAGGACCCAGGTTTGATTCCCAGCACCCACACGGTGACTAATAACCATCCATACCAACGCCCTTTTCTGACTACCTCAGGCATTTCATGACACAGGTACACTTACATACATGCACGCAATTACACTCATACACAAAAAAGTAAAAATTATTTTTTAAAAAGAGTTTATTATCACACTTGTGTCAAAAAAAGATACTAAAGGCAATAAAAATAATAGGAGTGATGGAAGCTCAGACATATAGGGGCAAAAGAGCAGCCAGAAGAAAGTAAGTGGGCTGGAGGTGTGGCTCAGTGGTACAGTGCTTATCTATCATGTGTGAGATCCTGGATTCCATCCCCAACACTCGGGGGGGGGGAGAGAATAAATTATCTGAGTAAATCTAGATGACCGTTAGCTCTATGTAATAAAAATACTAGAAGCATCTTATGAGTCAAAAACATATACAGCAGTAAAACAGATTATAATACTAGCTTGTACAGTGAGGAAGAGGAAAATGAAGTAAACCGCTCTAAGGAATGCTTTGCTTTCCCCTGGAATTCGAACACCTAGTAACCAAGACGTTAATAATCCAAAAATGGAAACTTTAATCTGTATGGCAAACACTAAAAGGATGGTTTAAAAATGTTTATCAAGCTAGTAAAAGGAGAAAACAGGATGATAAAAAATTCAGTCAATAAAATATTTGGGGGCTAGTGAGATGGCTCTGTGGGTAGACACTTGCTGCTAAGCCTGATGACCTAAGGGTTTTTAATTTTATTTTTATTTTATGTATGAGTGTTTTACCTGTGTGCATGTAGGTACAGCACATGCATGTAATGCCTGTAGAGGAACAAGAGGACAGAATGCAAAAGTAACCCAGAATACAGATCCAATACATTGGATCCCCTGGAACTAAAGTTACAGATCGTTGTTAGCCTCCTTGTGGGTGCTAGCAATGGAACCCAGGTCCTTTGGGTACCCAACCACTGAGCCATCTCTCCAATTCTTGATGGCCTGAGTTTTATCCCTGGGACCTATATGGTGGAAAGAGAGAAGTGACTCCCAAAAGATGTCCTCTGACCTCTACATGACTGTGGTGGGATGTAAACACACACACACACCACACACCACACACACACATACACACACACACCACACACATACACACACACACACATACACACACGTACAAATAAATAAGGATTTTTTTTTAATTTAAAAACTTTTAAAACCTAAAATTACTTGGAGATACAGCTCAGTTGATAGTATGCTTGCCTAGTGCCTTGTGCATACACAAAGCTTTGAGTGGTATCTCCAACAACACATAAACTGAGTGTGGTGGTACACACCCATAATCCCACCACTTGGGGGGAAGAGGCAGGAGGATCAGTTCAAGTCATCCTGAGAGCTGAAGGAAAAGGCAGGAAGTAGGACAAGTAAAAAGTAACAACACAATAGTTCTAAATGCAAATGTAACAGCAATGAGTGTAAATTCTTCATTTACAAAACAGGGACTTTCATAACAAATAACAAAAACATTTTTCTTTTTGGTGGTTTTCTTCTTTGGTAGTTGTGATGGTTAGTGTTAACTGTCCTGGGAGATAGGCCTCTGGACATACAGGGGATTATCTTGGTTACATTAATAGATGTGGGGCAATCCATCTTAACTGGTAGGCAAGGCATCCTGAACTGTACGAAAACAAGCTGAGCACTAGCATGCAAACATTCCTCCCTCTCTGCTTCCTGCAGTGGATGCAGAGCCACCAGCTGTTTCTGGCTCCCGCTGCTCTGCCTTCCTGCCACCATGAACTGCCTGGAACTGTGAGCCAAAATAAACTTTCTCCTTAAAAAACTGCTCTTGTTGCTGGTTTAAAACCTATTTAACATATTTCATCCCTTCCTGTTAGGTGTATTATGATAGAATTTAGGCAAGACATTTTGATATAGCATAACTCAACATAAATTATATCAGATATCAGCATAAACATTTTTGCTTACTATAAATTTACCAAGTAAATGTCTTCCTTTCATTCTGGGTCTCCAACTAAGTCAACAAAAGCAGAAAGTGCACACTCTATCCAATGAGATACACAGCTTCAAAAATGAGAGAATGTTTAAAATGTACCATGGATGGCTTTTAATCATAGTAACAAATAAAAGTCAAATTCTCAAGTCTGACCTAATTCAATGTTCAAAGAGAACACCATGAGCAGAATCTGAGCAAGGGTGCTGAACAGTCACGACTCCCTCGGCGAGGCTCAGGATCACTGTAGCAGCACCCCAGGCCGTCGTGGATATTCAAACACTAACAAAATCACTGGAAATCACACTGTAGTCCTCCCACAAAGACAGAACTGTGCAGCTCTGCCGCAGGGGCAGTATCACCTCACCAGCAGCTCCAGCTATGCTGACATTCCCCTTAGATGTGTTGAACCTGATGCATGGGGTGTTTGCTGTTTATTTGCTTGCTTGCTTGTTTGTTTGTTTTTATTTTGAGACAGGGTCTCAATATGTAGCCCAGGTTGGTGTCAAACACTGGACCTTTCTTCCATAGTAAACCTGAGTGCTGGTATTACAGAAAATAACATAAAATCTGGCTTATCTGTTTTGTTTTTGTTTATGTGATGTGTAACACTGAGGACTGAGCTCAAGGTCTTTCTTACATGTGCTAGGAAAACACTCCACCACTCTGCCACTGATGTACATCCCCAGTCACCAACTCATGTCTTCATAGCTAATGTCACTTACTTGATCATTTAAAGGGGTTTTTTTCTTTTGTTTTGTTTCATTTTGGTCTTTTTGAGATAAGGTCTCCCTGTAGCCTCAGCTGGCCTGAAACTCGGTATGTAGACCAGGCTGGCCTCAAACTCACAGAGATCCACCTACCTCTGCCCCCTAAGTGCTGGGATTAAAGGCATCCACCACCACACCCAGCTCTTGATCAATTAAATTTGAGACCCTGTCTCAAAATAAAAACAAATTAAGGGAAGGAAACTATAAGATTGGTGATTAAGTTATTTAAAGTCATACCTAAAAAGAGTAGGTAATTGACTATAAAAATCCAAATCTAGATTTTTATAAAGAAAAATGCTCTGTTATCACAAAGCTAAGGAATATGCAAAGGTTATTTCAACTCTCATAATTAGGTTACCTGCTTTACATCTTGAACAAGATGATGCAAGAACATATTAGACGGTCCTTGTTTCTATAATAAACAAAAGGAAGAATTATTTTCTTTACCGTGTGCTGGAAGCACTTTATTTCAGAATGCATAAGTAACCTAGAATACAGAAAATCTTGTTCAACATCTTCAATTACTAAATTTACACTATTTAATCCTAAGGAAAGAGTTCCCCAAGAGAAGATATGATTATATGAAATATTTTTCAAAGTAAGATTTATGTATGTAGATAGTAAGAATATTGATTTTATATGGAAAGAAGCATAAACTTTAAGCAATCTGTCTGTCCTTTATCATATATAAATTCTATCAAACAATTATAGTTCTTATCACACAATAACAGTCCATCAACAGGTATTTCATTGAATCTTTACAGTGTTTAGTTTTCTGAGGGATTCAATGGAGGGTTCACAATAATAGAAAAGACAGTTAAGTACCTACCCTAAAAAGTAGCCAACAACCTGACAGTGTGTGTGCTGAGAAAAAGCTGCGAGTAATTCATAGTCTAGGAGCAGATCACTGTTAACTAAGTGGACCAAGGAAGAAGACCAGATGTCAGTCAGTCTTTGAAGAGCAGGTGCAATTGAGAGGACCAGAAAGGAAATGGGAAGGCACCCAGCATGAAAACCAAGCATTGTCACAATGAGTAAGCCAGACCATTCTCAACGGAGGGTTCTGCACAGGAAAGTTGCAAGAACGGGGAGGATGATTTTTTGGTTTGGGGTTTCATTTTTCGGTTGTTTGTTTGTTTGACTGATTGATTGTTTACATTTGTTTAACAGTGTGTGTCTGTGTGTATGTGTGTGTGGGGGTATATATCAGAGGACAACCTGCTGGAGTGAGTTGCCTTCTACCATGTGGGTCTCGGAAATTGAACTCAGGTCATCAGGGCTTGGCCTTTACCCACTGAGCCATGTCACCAGTCCAATAACAGCATTTTAATAGTGGCCTTAGCTCAGGTTACTTTCAAATAACTCAATTAAAAGCAGCGTGATATTCACACCTTTGTCTCTATGGCTTAAGATAAAATGGAACTGGTTACAATGTTTCTGCTTTGCAAAGTCTGTATCTCTAAAAACTGTTGGTGCAGAAGCATCCAAGAGGAGAAGGAAATCCTGAGCTACTCAGTAGCAAATCTTGAGGAAGACGATTTATGAAGTGTTTTCACTCACTGTGTTATAGAGCTCTTCCAGTCGGGGGATGGTGAGAAAGCGGTGAAGGTTCACGCCGTTCTCTATTAAGAGCTTCACAAAATCCACCCGATCCATCACTAAGGCGTCTAGCATTGCTTGCTCCAGGGCACCAGGCTTCAGGAGGTACAAACAAATAAGAGATATAAAGACAATGAAAGAAACAGAAATAAGTGAAGAGTTACAGCTCAACACTACTAGATGCAATGTTTATAAAACACATTCTTATTAAGAAATCTGCGGGGCCTAAGTGATGACACAATCAGGAAATATGCTCTTGAGTGAGAAAACCAGCTATTGTAACAATCTCAATTTTCCCCAAATGATGGTGTCTTAATGCAATTCTAATTAAAATCCAAGGGTTTCTGGTTTAGTTTTTTTTTAATTGGGAATGGCGGGGAGGGGTTGCTTAATCAATTATCTGCTTAGTTTCTTAATTTTGGTTTTAGTTTCAGTTTTTGGTACCATCATGCTTCCATTTAAACTTTTCCTGGTTTGGGGTATAAATGGCAAGTTGAACATACTTGTCTAACTTTACTCCATCCAAATTCCACTAAACTACAGCAAAGGGACATATTTAAAGAAATGAATTCACAAGCGCTGGCAGGGGACTGTCTGGACATGAGTACAGCAGTATGGAATGTGGGAAGCAGTCGGTCAAATGGTAGTTGGATCGGCAGTTCCTAGAAAGTGAGAAGTGCCCAGAACCACAGATCTATGCCACACGATTCCAGCAACATGGCAGTGAAGCCCATGAACACTGAACCCAGTGTTCGGACTTCCCAGTCACCTTCCCCACTGGACCCCATACCAGGAGCAGAAAAGCCTGCACCCCCAGCTGATGCAGATGATTCCTTTCTGGCATTATCAGCAACGCAAAGGAAGAACTGAATGTGATGACGCTTAGATGAGGAACCAAACAAGAAAGAAAGAGAAAGAGAGAGAGAGAGAGAGAGAGAGAGAGAGAAAGAAAGAAAGAAAGCTGTAAAATAACTACTGAAGATTTCAGGCAAATAGAAAAAACATCAAGTCCACAGAACACAAATGAGAAGAACGTACAACCAGCAAACAAATTTGCTCTTAGGAACTAGTGGATTAATCTTATGCTACCAAAAAGAAAGGATTCACAGAAGGCTGAAAAGTTGAGAAAACCTACCAAGGAGAAGATACGGAACATAAGAAAACAAGGGATGCAATTAGAAGGCAGCTGGTTGAGTTTAAATATTTGGAAAACAGGACTTCAGAAGGGAGGCAGAGAAAGCGGGATGGAATGGAGCTAAGAATGTCAATTTGAAACTGTGTGCGTGATGAACATATAGACCCAACACACAACACTGGGAAGTTGCAGAACCCTAGAGAAAGGAGAATTTGTTTTATAATTTCCAGGAAGAAGCTGAGTATGGTAGCATACCCCTTTTATCCCAACATTGAGGGGCAGAGGCAGGCAGATCTCTGTGAGATCAAGGCCAGCCTGGTCTACATAGCAAGTCCAGGTCATCTGGGGCTCCAGGGAGACTTTGTCTCAAAAAAAAAAAAAAAAATAGCTCTATCTAGGGCTGGCAAGATGACTCAGCAGATAAAGGTGCTGACTACACAAGCCTGGCAACCTGATTTCAAGCCTCAAAATCCACATAAAGGTGGAAGGAGAGAACCGGCTCCACAAAGTTGTTCTCTATCCTCAACATGCCCTGGGACGGACGGACACACACACACACACACACACACACACACACACACACACACACATACACACACACACTTTGAAAAAATTCAGGTTGGAGAGAGAGATCAGTGGTTAAGAGAACATAATACTCTTCTAGAGGACCTGAGTTTGGTTCCCAGCACCCTCAGGGTACATCAGGCACCCTTTTCTGGACTCTATGGCAATAAAAATAAATTTTAAAAATTAGAAAATAGTTCTGATCATGAACTAAAATATAGCTAAATATTAGCTCTTCTAACAACTTCTAGCAATTTATTCCCATACGCAAAATATATTCTGTTGAGTATTAAAATTTTTATTGTTCTTTGCTAAGATGCAAAGACTCAAGGTCTAAAAACCTTTGACTCACTCATCTATGGGTACTTTGGGGTATCATGTGTATGGTACATATGTTAATAAACTTGTTTTTCAGCTGTTAAAAAAATTTATTCCCATACCCTTTCTTGGGAAGTTACTGGGAGATTCATGACATTGATACAGACGAATAAAACTAAGAAAAGAGTCCTAAGGCACAGAAAGCAAAGGTGGCCCCCAAGATGGCAAGGGAGCTTCCAGAATGACAACTGAGCACCAGGAACAGAAGGCAGTGAGCCTGCACTGCAGAGGGAGACCCCAAGACAAGGATGAGTCAGAAGACAGCCATGTGATATTATTTAGAAATGGAAACTGGCAACTGGCAAAAGTCCAAAATGTCAAATGTAGAAGATTTGTTGTAGCAGGAAACTATCATTTTAGCAGCCTTGTAACCTTATTTGAAGTTTTAAGAAATATACATGCTTTAGTTTGAACCAAATATAGTTGTGTTTTAGTTACAACTTAAATTTTTTTGCAAAATGTTAATGGTGATTACCATTAGCATTGAATGTAGTTATTCTTGCTTTCACTAATTTCTATCATTTATAGCAGAGTATAGGAACTTGTGGTGTGGAAATAGTAGAAATTGTAGACCAAACCAATGATTACAAACAAGATAGGCAGTTCTGGAACCAGCACTGGCCCAAGGGGAGCTGGCTGCTCACTTAAGCCAAGGGAGCCACAAGCTTTGATGATCCTTTTATGGGAATAGTCTAAGACCTGGTGGTTGTCCATCAGTCATGGTCAGTTTCAAATGGTGACCTTCTTATGCACAAGCATCCTGGTCTTGTACACGGTGGGGAAAGAGATAATCAGCTCCATTCAGGCAGGAGCTGCTGACTTATGAGTCATTCTCTTGCATGAACTTCTTGGCCTCATGGTAAGGATGAAGGACTTTCAGTGCGCGAGACAATGGAAGAAACACAACCCCACTCCAGCTGGCATTACAGGCTTGGACAAAACATTTCTCAAATGATCGACATGCCAACATGCACAGCAGAGTCTGACTCGAAGACTGAAGCAACAAAAGAGACAGACACAATATGAAGACATAGATGACAAGTCTTATCTCCTGTTTAGTCATCTACCAGATATCTATATACTCCCATGAAGACCTTACACCAGACCGGGATTCACTCTGATGGGATGCTGACCTCCGAGTTCATTCTCAGGTCTTACCAAAGACAACTTGTAATTTAGGATTTTCCTTAGCAATAATTCCCTTTCGTCTTGGCTTGCTTTATAACATTCTCTCTGTAAATATTTTAGTCGTGTGGCCTAATCTGGTGCTTTGTAGCAAAGCTCATGAGAGAGTACGAAGACAGATCCAAAAAGGGCAGATCCAAAGGGGCAGATCCAAAGGGGCAGATCCAAAAGAAAACATGCATTGTGCCAAGAGGTTCAAGGTTCAGAATTTACGTGCCCTTTGTCCCCTGTGGTAATCCTTTCCTACTTCACTGTGAGCATCTGATTTAAAAAGAAAAAGGGACAACAAGTCTAAGGCGATCTTTAAGTTCCAAATAACAAAGTAAAGATCTGCCCATTCAAAATAAACTCAAACCTTTTGCATTCTGCTGATATTCTAACTTCTGTTTCTGCCTCAATGAAGCCAGGGAAAATATGCTCTCAGGAAGGCAAAACAAAGGAGATGAGCCTAGCTCTCAGCAGCTGTCTCCTCTCCAATTCTCCCTTAGAAACCAATATGCAAAACAGTTATTTTCAAATGACTTCATTTTCACTATACCTTCCAATGTTGTCCATAAATTAGAATATGTTTCTTGGCAATGTCCATTCTGTCCCAAGCCATTGCCAGATTTAATTGTTCTGATATTGATAAGCTTGTGCCTAGGGAAAAGCAAGGAATGATCATATATTCTATTCAAAATATCTAGGTGACAAGCACAAAATTCTCTAGACTGTGTGGGCAGGAAGGGAAGGAGAGCTGCGGATTTGCCTTGCTACAGACCTTTCAACAGAGCAGTAAGGATGGCCAAGTCAAGGTCTTGCTGCTCTTCAGAGTCAGCATCAAAGATGGTCATCTACAAAGGGTAGAAAACAGAAAGCCACACATTTCAGAAACCAGCAGAGAAAGATCTTCCATCTGTACCCATAAAATTAACATTTGAGCTGATGAATTAGAGAAAATACTCTTATTTTGTAACTTTATAGTTTTGTTGTAGTTATAAAACGAAAAAATTCTTAAATAAATTGATAAAGAATTGGAGCTACTTGGGAAAAAATGAGCTATAAAAGCCCATGTAATATATACTAGAGCTCACTCCGAGCCTGCTTCAAAGAAAGAATCAGGGTTAATTCCCAGAGCAAATAAACCATTTTCCTTCTGAAGGGAAGCAAATGAGATCCTGCTCACATAGACTTGGAAACAAAAACTTTTGCTTCAGAATGAGAATTGACTTCTCCAGTGTTCACCCTAAACTCAGGAAGATGATGACAGTGAACCCAGTAGCAGGTCAAAGAACCCAGTAGCAGGTCTTCACGATGTCAAAACACCAGGGCTTCCTAGGTCCTCAATCAGCCTATCTGTTAGACACCATTATGACGCTTCTGAACAGGGTGTGTTTTGTGGTTCTCATTTCCCCCATTCCCTCTTCTCTTTTGTCACCCCTCCCTGTAGGCTCCCCCACCCAGATTTTTTTCCTCCTTCATGCCCCATGTGTCCTTTTCCCAGCCATCCCAATCCTTCATCAAGTGATATCACCCTCTTGTGGTCTCCTTTCTAGATTTTTAGACTTTAACTCACACAACTGTTTACCTATAAACACCTTTCAAAATGAAAATGTATTTTATACAGTACAAGAAACTAGTTTAACAGAAAGGAGCAATGAATGGCAAGTTCAAGTCCCAGGCAGCACTCTTAATTAGAATTATCTTAAGGTCACTGACTCTAACTTACATATCTACAAAATGAGAATCTATGAAAAACTCTCAACATCCTGTAAAGATACAGACCACAATTGCACATGTTGGTTCCTTCAACTTAACATCCCCACTGTATGCATGAATAAAATCAGCTTTCAAGTACCAACTACACAGAGCCCAGCTGCTGTGGACTGAGCATCCTCGGCTGCCTTCTCCTGCCTCTCCTGATCATTACGATCACTGCTCACTACGTAGCAACGGAAAGAGACAAGGCACTGTAAGCACTCTCTTTAGCATGGCCTTTTCTTCTGATTTATTGTGAGAAATGAAAAGTACAGCAGACTAAGAGCTCACCTCTGAATTCCTTTCAGGCCCTACCATTTCTTAACTGTGGGACTGAACAAATCACTTAAATTGTCTAGCCTTTAGTGTCATAATTTCTAAAATTGAAATGAGCAACCACCACCATATTGAACTCATTCATGGGGCTATTTCAGATGAAAACACACATTCAAAAGCACATGGCTAATCATTTAAAATGGTTGTGGTTATTAGGTCACTGAAAAGCCCAAAGGCTTTTTCGTGTATGTCCTACCACGCTTTCTCTAGCTTGAACATATTAGCCTGGTTTGGTAAGGTTAGATGTTTTAGTGCCAACACAATGCCTTTATGATTTGGCTAAGCCTCCCAATGCTGGAGGGACGGCTTTGAATAATAACACATTTCCACATTTACTTTTCAGCTTCATACCATCCACAGTGTCCTGAAACACGAAGTACTTTTCCTGGCCCTGAATTACAGTCGTAGCCCCTCTTTGTGAGCTGTATTTTATGTTGCAGTCTAGTCTCACATACGCCCTTGCCTAATGCACCCCCCAAGGGCCTCCTGCAAGATATACGCAGGGTCTGCACTATGTGCATGCACCACAGCAGACTCGAGTTCACTGAAAATGTGGAGCTTTTCCTTCAACCCCTGGAAGTGTTTACGTGCAGTTTTTACTAAGTTTGGTGACTTTTCTGTAATACTGTTTATTCTACAGGCCCTGTCCTGGATAGAATCTGAAATTTAAAGCACGAGGCGTGAAAATGGGTGGAGCAGTAGGAACTCAAGTTTACACAAATAAAGTCTCAAATTTTTCAGAGTTATAGCCATCCAAGTTCAACATGGAAATTTTACATAGCTTTTAAAATGTGAAAATAAATATTTTAGTTTCTGGAAGGTAGCCTTTTTTAAAGTCAGCAGCTCATCATACTTACAGAGTCCCTGTGTACCATACACTCCATTAGAATTTGGAAAAGATGCTTAGACTGTCTAAGGCTAAAGTTGAACATGTTCTGAATCACACAGATGATTTCTTCTTTCACCTGAGGGCGTAGCATCCTAAAGGAGAAATAAACGGTCATAGTCTGTTGCAGCCCAGAGAAGGGGCCAAGCCAGTGGCATTGAGGGAAAAAAACTCATCTGGCCAACCTACTGAGAAGGGTGCCCTTGACAGTTCTGCCAGAGAGCCAATGCAAGAGACGCAATACACAGAGAACGGGAAGGATCTACCCACCGAGACCCTCAAAGAGTTCACTTTGAGGTGGAGGTCTCCAGCTGACAAGTTTCGTGAAAGCTGTGAATTCCCACAGTTCTGGGTATAATATTCTCTAAAGAATCTAAAATCCTAAAAAGCCTTATGGGCACTCATACAACACAACACTAGAAAAAGGAGAGGTTAGAGGGGCCATGCTTAGAAGGGGAAGGCAGAGGGCCCAAATGGGAGCCAGACACCCCAGAGCACTGAGAGAACAGACACAGCGAGCCATTGATGACTAAATAAATCAGAGAGGTTAACATTTTAGTTCTTGGGCTCTATGTACACAGCACAAAATACTTTCAAAGCTGTGTGAAGATGTCACACAGGGACGGCTTGGAGACAAAGCACTTTCCTTGAATATGGGAGTTAAAGCCTGAGGAAAGCCTGCTGTGTTCTGTAAATTCCAGATGTGTGACTCCTGCGATTTTTGATAATGGCGAATATTGTGAAGGAAACCTGGGCCGACATGGGTCCGTCTTTCACTGTGAGGATCTCAGCTATGACAACTTCAGGCTAATCACCTCCCTCTATCCTCTGAAAAATGACTTTGCAGAGCTCAGACAAAAGGTGGGCCATTCCTCAGCTAAGAAATAGCAGGTGTTTTAGTGTTAATGAACAACACAATCACTGAAAGAGGAATGCCATCTCAGCCTCTGAGTTCCAATGGTATCTGGCCCACATAAATGACAGCTTATAAAAGACCAAAGCGGAGGAGTAAGCAGTCATAATTTCAAAATGGAAGAGTCAGGGCTGGAGACATGGCTCAGCAGTTAAAAGCACTGGCTGCTGTTGCAGAGGACCAGGGTTCAGTTCCCAGCACCCATGTGACAGCTAAAAACCATCTGTAACTTCAGTTCCAGGGGATCCAACACCCTCTTCTGACCTCTGTGGGCACTGCACAGCACAGGTGCACTTACATGCATGCAGGCAATATACTCATACACATAAAATAAAATAACAAATAAATAAATAAAATATTCAAAATGGAAGAGCCAACACTCACCCTTCATCTGCCAAGTGTTTGTAGGTGAAGGCCAGGAGGTCCGCAGCCCTGCCAGTGCCCTCACACACCACCACAGGCTCTTTGTTCCTGACAGTCTCACACACTGAGAGGATGACATTGGGGCCTCCTTCCACCACCAGCCCCACCACAGGCACACCTTGTCTTGAGCCTGTTTCAGATCAAAACATTACCACACTGTTACAAAGCTTTCCTGTCCTGGTTAAGACTTAAGTCTTTCAACTACTACTTACCTTCCCCACTTGCTCACACCTAGACCAAACCAGAAACTTGGACTTCAAGTAAAATGTGGCACAAATACAGTGAGGACATCTCCAAACTTCGAAAAAAAAAAGAATTTATTTACTTATTTTTATAATGCATATAAGTATTTTGCCTAAATGTATGTCTTGCACTATGTGCAGGCAATGCCCATGGAGGCCAGAGAAGGGTGTCCGATTCCCTGGAACTAGAGTCATGAACGGTTGTTAGCTGCCATCTGGGTGTTGGGAGCTGAACCCTGTCCTCTGCAATAGCAGCCAGTGCTCTTAACCACTGAGCCATTTCTCCAGGCCCTATTTTCAAACTTTTGCTAAGTAAAATGTCAATGAAAGCTCTCAGTAATTAAAAAAGTCCTTAAAACTTTTAAACTTTTCATTGTGGAAAATTCCAAACAATCTAAAATAAGCAGATCAGTGTAGTAGATTCCAGTGTCTCCATCACTCATCAAAAATACCTAGGCAATTTTTATTTTTATTTTTAAAAATTTCTTATAATTAAATTTTAAATTTTTTTTTAATTTTTAAGATTTTTTTTTTTTTTAATTTTCAAGATTTTTTAAAAAATGGCCAGGCCTTTGCCAATTTTAAGGGTGGTCAACAGGTGGAAAGGGCAACCCTCAACATCTCTTCCATTTCAGTATAGTAATCTTTCACTGTTGGAATTTCTTATCATAATTATGTATAACTTTATTTAAGGAGACACAAAAAAAAGCAAAACAAAACAGAAGTAACAGTAACCATGGAGCCATTCTTGTGTGTGTGTGTTTGTTTGTTTGTTTGTTTGTTTGTTTTTAAAAATGAGCTATGGGGCTGGAGAGATGGCTCAGTGGTTAAGAGCACTGGCTACTCTTGCAGAAGACCTTGGTTTGGTTCCCAGCACCTACAAGGCAGCTAACAACTGCCCTTAACTCCAGTTCTAGGGGATCCAAAGTCTTCTTTTGACCTCTGTGGGCATGGTACAACATGGGTGCACTTACATACATGCAGGCAATACACTCATACACATAAAATGAAAATAAATAAAATATTTAATTTTTTATGTTTTTTTTTGAGACAGGGTCTCCCTACAGACCCAGCTGGCCTAGAGCTCACTATGTAGACCAGGCTAGCCTTGAGCTCACAAAGGTCTGCCTGCCTCTGTCTCCCAAGTGCTAGAATTAAAGGCATGAGCCACCACACCCAACATAATAATAAATAAAATATTTAAAAGAATTCTAAGTGAGGCCGGGCATGGTGGTGCAGGCCTGTAATCCCAGCACTTGGGAGGCAGAGGCAGGTAGATCTTTGTGAGTTATCACAGTGAAAGATTTATCGTCCTCTTTTAGTTTGAATAAAGGGACCCCTTTCAAAAAAAAAAAAAAAAAAAAAAAAAAAAAAAAGAATTCTAAGTGAATAAGTTATAAAATGACATGTGTAACGCTATGCATGGTGGGGCACACCTTTAATCCCAGTACATGGAGGCAGAGGCAGGTGGATCTACAAGGCCAATCTGATCTACACAGGATAGTTACTTAATAAGTAGGTATGCATATACCGACACATACAGTGTGCTATAAGCAAGCAGAAATCTCTGGAAGAATATACAACAAGCCATGAACAGTGAAGAAGAGTAAGAATTTAGAGAAATGACTGATTTTTAAAATTTTTCAGACAAGTTCTAACTATATGGCTGAGGTTGTCCTCAAATTTACAGCTTTCTTGCCTTAACCTCTTGAATGCTACATTGTAAGTCTATGCCATCATGCTCATCTTGAGTTTCTTCAGCTTACTGATTTAAATTTTAACATTGCTCATGAATTTGTATGTTACTTTTAAATCAATATGTTTTATTATAACTTTCAAAACAAGAAAAATTGGCAGGCAATAGCACATTCATACCTGAGCAACAGAGAACTTTACTTTGGATAGACAGTGGTCCTCCTCTAGTCATGCCCTCCCCTCACAGAAAGAGGTCTACACAGCTGAATTCTGAGAGACTCTGTGCCCACGTCCCACTTCCTAGATTTTCCAAAACCCCAGATCTGGTTTCCAGGGGCTGCTGGCACCTCTGCCCCGTGTACATCCTTCTCAAAGCAAGAGAAAACTTTGGAAAGTAGAAGAGAAGGAGAGAGAGTCTCGACCCTGACTGGGTGTCCAATGCCCACCTGGCATTGCAGGAGTAAGCCAGAGGCAGGCAAGCAGAGAGGGAGTGGGTTGGGGAGCTGCCTCTGCCCCACTGCAACAGTCTGCTCGGTACTCCCTGAAACCCAAGAATTCTAAACATAAGCGTGGCCTTGCTTTTATCCATTTCCAGATCAACAAGTAGAGATATTCTACAGTGTGTTATCTTGCCTCTTTAAGGCTCTCTTGAAATATCAGAGAGTTGACATGGGGACTCCATGTGTATCCACAACTGTTATGGTGGGCTGTTGCAGGCATCTGAATACAGCATGAAGAGGAACGAACTGCTCTCATGTTTTTCCTTTCCTTCTTCATTCACTTCTACTTTATTACTATCACCATCTCACTAAAATGCTATGGAGCATGTGATGGACCAACAGACGCAGTGCTCCTCTAACAACTAAATGAAATGGGCATGAAAATTTAGATGAATGTGTTATTAATCTTGACATTATATACATATATATACATGAAAATATAGATTTTTTTAATGCTTAAAGAATAAGTGTTAGAAATGTGTAAATTATGCTTATTGGCATGGAAATACATTGTACTTAGTGAAAAGGGAAAGATTATCAAAAGAATCATGATATCAGTTTTAGGCTAAAGAATGTTCCTGTGTGTATGTGTGTGTGTGTGTGTGTGTGTGTGTGTGTGTATGAAACTTCTAAAAGTTTCTATGCGAAAAGGTTGATGAATAGTTTTGATAGCAAGACTATAGAATATCTCTTTTAGTATATGCTCCCTTGGCTTCATCTGAGCATGAAGGAATGTAATACTTTTACCATCAGAAAAAGAATCAATAAGGGCATTTTGTAGGAGAAAGGAGAATTTAATTTCTGCTAGGGACACTTTCTTGAGTCAATAACCAATTCTCTCAAAAATAAATATATTTATAATTGCACTCTCGAGCCTGAGAGGGTGGGTTCGGACATCTATCGGGTAAATGCTGGGAGCTTAGCAGACCTCCAGAGAGTGCCACGTTCTGGCCTCCCTCTGGCCTCCAACTACCAGAGGGCCTAAGAACCCAGGGGACAGCCTGACAGCTCCCCCTGGATCTTGTTTCCACGTGGCGGTGAGCTTCAGCTAATTGTGCCATACCAGCCCCCTACCTGGGATTTGGTGAGGCCCTTCCCAAGGCCCCAGGGCAGATCTGCTTCCCAAGGGCAGATCTGCCTTTGGTAGGCTAAGGCTGGGATCTCAGCAGACCACCAGAGAGTGCTGAGTTCTGGTCCCCCTCTGGCCTCCCTCTGGCATAGGGTTGACAATGCACAGGACTGTCTGAGGTCTGAGAGA